CGGGCACTTTGCTCGATGGAGGGGACTTGGGTTCAGAAGCGACTGAAGGACAAAATCCAAAAGGTCATGTAAGTATGCTGTGCAGTTGATATCCTGGTGGAGTTGATCAATCCACTGCATGGTCACCCGGTCAGTATTTCCCTTTGATAAGTATGAGAATGTTGCGGCCGTAACTCACTCTTGAAACGGAACGTTTGAGTGACGCGGACCCATTTTCAATGATAAAAAATGTGTCTTCCTTGATGTCTTGGCTAAGATTCCTGTCGTCTGAAAGACGCTGTTCAACAAATGCGTCATTCACAGCCTGAAAGCCTTTCAACAGCCAGGTTATGAATTCTAAATAAACGCAACCCAGGGTCCACATATCCCATGCCTGAGAAATTCGATTTTCCGGCATGTCGCATTCCGGAGGTCTGTAGGTTGGTGTACGTTCCATTTGTCCTGCTGGCATCGCCGACCTTGATTGTCGACTGTTGAACTGCGTCAGCCCGAAATCCGAAATCTTCAGTACGCCACTAAAGGCTTTGGAACTATGATGATCTTTGAACCACAGTATGTTCTCGGGCTTTATATCGCTATGTCTTCCGTAAGGGCGCCTCGTAGATGAAGATGTCGAATCCACACCGAGATTCTTTGAATCGGAACTGGACTGGTAATGGTGGATCTTGCCGAGACCAATTGCCAATCCATGACACTGCTCAGCCGCCCAAAGGCCGAGATTCACGTCGATAGTTGGTCTGGGATGCAACTCCCAGAGCCTTCTCAGGTTGCCATCCGCCCACGGGAATATTAGATGGTAGCTCCCCATATGCTTATAGGTAGCCAGCAGTTTGATTAGGTGCTCGTGAGAATTAATACTAAACCTTTTTAGTGTCTCCACCTCTTTGTGAAACGCTTTTTCGTCGGGAGAGAATAGCTTTTTCACAGCAAAATATGGATTTATGCCCTTTATATTCAACTCATAGTTAGACATCATTATCATAATAGAGAATTCTTGATACAGGTTGAGACAATGACGTACCTCTGGTGTGTCGAAGCTATGGTGAGAAGGGTGGATTCTGACCTTGAAAACAGTTCCATAGCCGCCAAGTTGTGGGTTTGACAAGCTCCTCTCTTCCGACTCAACGAAAGGCAGCAGTATCTTGGGCTCCAAAGGGTAATTCAAGACCTTGTTAGCCTTGTCTGCTTTCGTGAAGATCGGAGAGAGCAAAGACCATTGATTCCTTTCAAAGGTCTCGATTTCAATGTGCTTCCATCCATTGAATGCTTTGATTTTGTCAAACGGCGCGCTTTTCCGAAGCAGTTGAAAACCTCCGCCCTTTCTCTCTAGCTTGAAAGGGAGGTCTTTGTCGCGGAGGCCTTCCGCAATGAAATTGGTTATTGTCTCGGGTTTCTCGATCAAGAGCAGAATGGCAAAGAGCTTAAGTCCTGTTGTGTACTTCTCCTCCGAGCCTTCGAGGCGATGTTTGCGGCAAACATATTCCGCTATGTTCTCCAAGCTGGCGTCGTTGATGGTTTCGTCGCCAGTCGCTCGTTTCAGTTCCTCTACCACTGCTTCTTGGGTAATAAGGCTCTTCAGGGCTTCAATTGGTACAAAGGAACCCATTTCCTCATGGGGATGAACAATAGCTTGAGCTCTCAGTCTTGTTCCCAGGTCCCCAGTTTCTAGTTCCGGAAGGGTAATCGGTTGTGAATCTTCATCGGCCGGAAAGGCTTGTCCGGTCTGGTCCACGAGGTGGTCCTGAGTTTCTCGCGCGAGTTCTTCAACGGGATCATGCTTCAGCTTTTCGCTCCACCCATAATCGTTAACTGTGCTGCTTTCTTCTGTATCCAAACCAGGAACCTTCTTGCGAATAATGTCGCTGTCTGCTTCTTGATTGATGTCATCGGGCGTGGTCACAACCAGACCAGGGATGCGCTCGGCCGAAACATCGTCCTCGTGCTTCGGTGTATTGATGTTGTTACCACGCATTGCGGCAACTGAAGGGGAGGCCTCCGAGCGCGCATTTCGCACGGCTTGGTACTCATTTGAGGGCTATGATCCCAATTAGTGACCCAAAAAGAATCATCGGTCCCAGCACCTTGGGGGAGACTGCCTGGCACGCGGTTATCTTACAAATTCAATGCCCAATCCATTGCCTCCACTGAACTGCCGTGGTACAGCCGCTCTACCTTGGTCAGGCTTGAAATCATCACCGCTATTTGCCTCTGGTGACCTTTGCTTGGGTTTGGCCACCTTTGAGCGGCGTGTTGGAGATGTTTCAAGCTGCTTTTGATCCGACATACTGACTTCCTCGTCCCCGGCGCTACTCTGAGGGCTACCGGGAAAGTGTACGGGGTTATGCCTGGGTCATGGTTCATAAGGAGGCAGGAAAAGTCATATTTCGGCAAGAGCCTCATTGGGAGGGAAAAGGCTGGACATTCGCCCTCCATGGTTGAGATCCAGCCGGACCAATGTGACCAAGGTTGGTGGTGGCAATGCGCTAATGCAGCTGGCTCTGCTGGAAGGTGATTATGCGAGTGTTCACACCACCACGATGCAACTATCCACTAGCGAGGATTGAGAGGTGCGGGCAATGATGTCTCCGTGCTAGCCTTGCTAACCATGGCACCATGACCTTCGTCAGAGGACCTGAATGAAAAGAACCTGCAGAACAACAAGCTATCACGAAAGGATTGTAGTTCGGGACCAGCTTCACGCATTGACTTTATTTATCTTTGCTTCTGGTTAACATTTCGTCCCATAGGTAGCTATACGTATGATTTTTTAATTAGCTTTGAATAAAACATCTTCGGCTGTCAGGCGTAATGCTTGCTCAAGACTTACGCGTGATGTCAAGCGCTGGCGCAAGACGCATTGTACTTAATTGCATCTTGATTATGATAGCGACGCTGCCATTTCTCGTGTCGCACGACTATTGTAACCCCCACGATGACTCTGGACAGATTCCCTGATCCCAAAATGTCAAGACCCTCCGAAGTTGTGACCTCATTTTCGGAACCAACTGCGTTGATGCGTCAGCTGGCATGCATGGATTGAGTAGGTGATAAGCGGCGCAGCCATCCTCATTCCTCAATGGAGCCCGACAAGATACCTCTCGTAGTATCCAATGAATCAGGCACTGTCAACAGACCCTCGTACTTTCAGTCTAGATGAGCACATGTCTCAGCTCAGCTCAGTTCCAGAATCCCGATTAACACGTCCATGAGATGGTGGTCAACGGCGCCACACCAGGAGGCGGTTTCGTCGTGATCAATCAGGCTGGGGCAAGGGATTTTCTACTTTAGCGCCTGGGAGGGTCAGATGGAAGGAGGTTCGGAGGAAGGGATGGGTTGAAACAGGCAAATGGTACATTAGGGGTCAGCTGATTCCATTCTCATTGGCGAGCCTGGCCACACACACACAAATTAGTAGGGTGCCTAATGGGGCTAACTGCAACAATAGTGGTGGTTATCTCCTCAGCCGTAGAATCAATAAGACCAAAAGCCGACGTTCTGGCTGCGTCGTGTGCAACCCATAGTGGTTGCCCCATTCTGCCACCAGCACCCTTCAACCAAGTGGACAGGAAGACCAGGGAACAGAGCCAACCGGCTGGTAACGGGGAGGCCTGGCGTTTGCTTCCGTGGTATGCCCTGGAATTTGAGCATAGCGACATTTGACACATGTTCGTCCAGGGGTTTGCGCTCTGTAGAAGCTAGCTCGACGCGACACACGCTCGATTCCGAGGTTTGTCTCGTAACTACCGCTTGGCCCTTCTCCCCAAATCTGGTGGCTTGGGTGTATTCTCGGTGACCGATGCATCCTTTGGCTATAATCTTCCAAGGGCCAGAGCCTCGCTAAGGCACAACCCTGTGTGATGTCTTGTACCTAAACAGAATGACCTAGCACTGCCTAGCTGGTTGTAATTTACCCGATAACCCCAAGGTTCCAGAGCGTATGATCATTTTGTCAGTAAGTGGTATAAATCTGCAGGTGCCTGCGCGGTTTTCAAGATGAGGCAGCATCCTTCCCTCAGTCTCTACACCCTACAAGCACTTCTTCACCATAGTTTGCTACAGGAGTTCACCAAGCGTCGCTTGTGTCTCACATTCTACTTGCTTCTTGCGATGAGTATCAGCTGCGATGGGTCCCAAGGATCAACGTCCACGTCCGTGAATCAGCCAGCGGGGGTCGTGAGAAACATACACTCCCGGTATATCAGAAACCCTTCCGTACTATCAAGAAGCTTGCGGGAACACTACGGCTCTGGAAACTTTGCAATTGAGGTCAGCCCTTGAATCCAAAAATTACTGGCAGAATGACATTTAACATAAAACCGCAGCTCCGTCAGAACGTGTTCTTGATCAAGACTCCCGAAGCTATACCCGACGACATTCTCAATCCCAATTTGCGAAACATGTTACACCAAGTTCCGGCATCATTATGAACAGAAATTTTAGGGTGCCTGGATTAAACAAAACACGATACGCAAGTTTCACAGGCGGCTTATCAGGTGGTTGGAGATAATCTGAGGGGGCACATAATACGCTAGATTCATTGTCCCTCTTCCTGTATTCAAGACGATTGGGATCAATAGCGGAGTTCAACATGATTATACGAAGTCTGAAGTTGCTGCTTGGTTTCGTCAATTCACCCCGATCCAGTTCAAACCAGGTCGAACTCAAAGAAAGCCATGCTTAACTATCTTGGGACCATGACAGAGTCATATCACAGACGATATCTTGCGCGAAACATGCTATCCTGCCGAGAGGCCACTTAAGAGATCTGCACTTCGTCTAGGAACCGGCAAGCTTCAACGGCCATGTTTGATGCTGTCTACTCTGATAGTTCACTCAACCACGACTACTTGCGTCATATCACGCTCAATTAATTGACGCCAAGAAACAATAAAAGACCCGTTACACATATCACAGTTACTTAAATTTGGCGGGCTGAGTTAAAAGATCATGAGTGCCTTCTTAGTACCAATAGCTCCCCTGCTCAATACCTACAGAGGGTATCAAACCTCTGACATTGACTCGGAGCATTTCAGTCGTCTCATAAGAAGTATCAGTCGCTGACTAGACATAGCATAGTAACCGCCGAGAATGAACAGACTGAGGCACGCAGAGAATGCAATCAGGACCCAAAAGTATGGCGAAATAATCGCCTGGTCATCTCTCGGAAACCAATTGAAAAAGTCCGTAGAGAATATGGTCTAGAGTCAGTTTAAGTTAGACGCGCAGTAATCCTAGGGGGGGGGGGGGGGGGGGGGGGGGGAGGGGAAACTCACAGCAACGAACATGCTTGGAAGAAAGATCATTGAAAACATTGAAATGTTTTGAATACGCTTTCCATCTCGCTTAGCGTCTAGGGCAATATGCATGTTGGTTTGAGCGTGCCACTGAATGTGATTTTTAATGATCAGTCCCCCGGCATGGAGTTTGATATTTGTGTAGAATCTTACCAATTGGGTTGACATAGACACACCATCCACTCTCATCGTGCAATCGCGGATGTTCTCATCATACTCGTTCACGATGGAGCACAATCTGTTTTTGAACATATGGCCAATCCGAGCTGCTTTGTTTCCCTGGGGAATATTCTGGTGATGTTTCCCATTAGAAACCTCTGACTCCATATCGTAGCGTTGGAGAAGGTCTTCCGCATGCGTGAGCATATCTTTCAACTGAGTCTTCCAGTTGACTAGACCGTTTCGAATCTCTGTGGCCTTGAACCATAGATCAAGTGGTTCGGCATTGTCGGTGGGTAGTGGCGCCTTCTCGTCTCCGTCTTGCGTACTCACAGTAGAAATAAAACTTTCCAAGTCATTCTGAGCCTCTTGAACGAGAACCTTTAGATGCCTCTCGCGCTCTAACTCGGCAAATATGCCTGGGAAAAGCAGAGGATGGTGAATTGCATCTTGGGCAAATCCTAGCCTGTCCAAGATCTGTGTCTCAATCTCAGGCGTGGTTCCGAAAAATATGGCTGAAGTCGATCTACTCTTCAGACAGTGGGTGACTGTGAGTGCTATGTCGTTTGACCAATAGTTCGAAGACCGGCAATGATACACTGAAACGCCACAGCTGTCAGAGGATGATTCAAGCGTTTTCATGGATTTGCCAACCTAGTGCCGGTTGTGGATGGCTTTCATCCCCGAGATCCACTTCACCCGCTGAAAAGACTGCAACATCGCCTCGACTAATAACTCGAGAGATCCCGCTGTGAATCAGAAGTCTCTCGGCAATGACTTGAAAACATTCGTATGAGAACGGGAGATATCGAATACTCTTTTCACGACTTAATGGAGTCTGACTCGTTGCTCTCCGAGCGAAGCTAACAGTGAAGGTCAGACCCCTGCACTTGAAGCGACTGCACGAGGGAAGGTAGATGGAGGACCTACAGCAGGACGATACCATCTGGACTCTGGTCGGCGTTCTGAGTTAACAGAGTTAGTCAAAGTAAGCTTCAGCACGTAAAAGACGCAAGTCTTGCAAGCGAGACTTACCTGTAGGGTCCATTGCTCTAAGTCTCGGTCTGCTAGAGTATAATCTTGAACCTTGGCTCTTAGTCAGCCCTTACGCTTCAAATCATGGGCATCACCTCGCGCACATCTTCGTCTGGAAGTACCCGAAGTACCCTCGCCAATTTCGGTTCGTATTGGAAGACCCTTTTCAGGTCTGTATCGCATCGATGCAACAGCGACCCATCCAGTAGCCAGTCCATAATGCAAAATATAGCGGCTATGATGGAACAAGGTTTGAAATCGGGACAGATTATTGCATAGAGCCTGTCACGAATGATGATCACCCAATGGGTATTTGACTGACCCGGCATCCTCGTTCCTGCAAGAATGGTGCTCTCCAGCTGCTGCCAATTCCCCGCCCTGACAAGCCAGCAGACACATCCGGTTGTTAGCAATCTTACTCCTGCAAGACGATGACCACACAGAATTTGCAAAGCCTTGGATGCCATGTTGGCAAGGCATCTTGCGGTGGCCAGCAGGTGGGGGGTTGAGCTTCATCGAACCCCGCTTCTTGAGCGCTTTAACGTCCCATCGCGCAATGAACGTTGACGCGGTAAATACCAGAGAGAGCTCTGAGAAGTACCGTATGCAAGATTCGCAGACTGAACGCAACCATTCAAGCAGGCTCTGCTGCAGGCTGACTATGGTCCATTCAAGACCCGTGTTGAGAATGACGACCGTCCGGTGGAGCGGGGGTTCCGCCCTACGATTTGAAGCGGCCCGACTAGCGGGACGATGCCGCATTATGCGGCGGTGCCCAACAAAGCCCTGCGCCGGCATTCTGCCTGATTCATAGACGGCAGGACGGCAGGATGCGAGCCATATCCAAGGACCACAAAACCCAATTGTAACAAACGAATAAGGCATCAGGGGTTCCCTCAGACACGACATATAAACGGCGCACGATAAAAGGACTGACCTATCGCACCACGCACCGAAAGCGACCCGGGACAATCTCACACCCCAAGCCAGAAGAGCACATTTTATATCTCATCACTACCTTTCTGCCAAGGTGTCCAGCCAAGATGGTCAAGCAAATCATTGATGGTCGATACGTAGATGAAACCATACTGCAGCAGAAGCTCCGGGAATTCTTCCCAAAAGGCAGTGTCTCAACAATAGTAGGCTAGACTCATCGAATGCCGAAATCCCTGAAAAAACGCTTGTCTCATTTTGGTTTCCAGTATCGACGAGGGAAGTGGCAGATAACAGTTCCCCGCGACCTAACAAAGGCAGGTCTAGATCTTTTCGGGCACGGTCACCTGGACTGACATGGTTTCATTGTCTAGGAAGAAGAGCAGAATATCCATGACGCAATGGGACACTACGCTTCAACTGAAAAAGTTTCACGAGAGTCAGGAACTCGTTAGGGACATATTTTCAAGCATCCCGATAGGTTTTTGCTGTAATGTGGTCAAAAGCACGAAGATGAGGCTGAGACTCTTTCGATTTTAACTTAGAAGGGAAGAAAAGACTTTCCCAATGTTACGAGACCGACGTGTATGTCGTCCAAGCAGCATCACGCCATATAGTAAAATTAGACATTGTTCCATGCCCATAGATAGTTGATGTATATTCAATGGCGCATTACAAGTACAGACCCATGATGTTAGTTCCTGTGAGGTCCAGTGCCAGCATCTGGAAACAGATGATTGCCGAGGCCGGTCCGTTGCCTCGGCGGCTCCTCCGTACGCCCCAAATGGGTCCTTAAGTTCGGATGTGATTGCTTGATGGAATCAAGAGCGTCCGAGGTGAGTGTTACTTTGACTGCTGCTGATTCCTGACACGTCTCTGGCAGGGCCCATGGGACTGCATCAATACAATAAGCTTCACTGCGAGCGCATTGCTCCTCAAGCTTTTGCAGCCGAGAGAAAACCGCATTGCAAGGCGCCCTCTTTCTGGTTGCTGACTCGACAATCAACATTTCCTCCTCGACAAACTGCAAGAGGTCGTGTATGTATTGAGTACAACCACTATGGTTATGCAACCCCTGAAACCACTAGGAAAGAACTTAATGATGGGTTCATTTTCGGATAAAAGACCACTTACCCTTGTGACCTTTGGCTTAATTTGGGCGCCCATGCTGCCAGCGCCACCCAATTCTTGTTGTCGAAGATCGACAATGTCAAAAAAGAGATCTGACATAACATTTTGACCCCATATGGAAGTTGGCGTTTGCCGATAGTCGGTAAATCTTTCAAGCAGATGACATCCACCTAGCATCCACGTTGCGAATTCCACAAAAACGCATCCCAATGTCCAAATATCCCATGATCGAGAGATATGAGCTCCTTCGATATCGCATTCAGGCGGTCTATAGCTGGGCGTACGACCGATTCCTGAGGTGTTTGGTATTCCAGACCGGCTGGCTCTGGTGTGGAAGGCTCCGAGACCAAAGTCAGAAATAACCAATTTTCCCATGTCCTCAGCATGGTTCTTGAACCAAAGGATATTTTCAGGTTTGATATCGCCGTGCCGTCCATATCGAGCCGCGTTTTCCGCGCTGCCCTCGACCCTGCCAGGATAATCGTGGATCCGTGCCAGACCATCGGCCATTCCGGCGGTCTGTCTCGCAACCCATTGAACCAGATGTCGGCTCATGGTAGGTTTCGAATTTACTTCTTCCCAGTACCTTAACAAATCACAATCTGCCCACGGGAATAAAAAGTGGAAAAAGCCCTTTTGACTCCACGTGGTCAAGAGAGATATAAGATGAGGGTGAGAATTATCGCTCTCGAACTTGCGAAGGTTTTGGAGTTCTCGTTGGAAAGCGCTCATATCTGACGACTTAAGCTTTTTCAACGCAAAGAAGCACTTTTAATCTGTCAGTAACGAGACTGTCTGAGGAATTTCAACCCACCCACCTCTGGGTCTGTTTGATCAAAATCATGGTGTCGCGGATGGATTTGAATCTTGAACACCTCGCTGTAGCCGCCGACTCCACCATTTTCATGCGGACTGCACTCTGACATGAGCGGTAGGATGACTCTATCATCAAACTTCCGGTACTGGGCTTCGGTCCCAGAAACTCTCGATAGAATGGGAACACTCAATGTCCATTGCCAGTCATCAAATGATTTCAGGGCATTGTGATTCCATTTCAGGAAACATTTGAGTGGAACGTCGAGAGCATTACGCTTCCGAAGATCAATATTGCCGTTTTCGTCAGAGTTGACTCTTTGCAGCGGCAAGTCTTCGTCGCAAACGCCTGTGACAGGCTTGACAAACCGTCCAATCGACCGGACCTTGTCTATGAGGCAAAGAAGAGCGAAGACCTTACCATAAGATGGCCTATTCTTGTCCTGGTTGCAAATATCATGTGCAAGACGGTCAAGATCATCTGGGTTGTCGTCTTCGAACTCATTATCGAGCTCTTGCCTGACAGTTTCAAAGCATACGATATTCTCCAGGTAGCCAGCCGGAAGATAGCCCTCCGTCACCTCAGGTTGCGGGTGCTTTTGGAAATGACGCCTGAGTAAGGCTTCTAATGCAAGGTCGGCATGAGAGCTCCCCGGGCCAGGGCAAATTGGCCCGGGTGCCTCCTCATTGGCCCTGTTGCGACGGCCTACGCTCGTTTGCTCACTCGCCGCCGATTGGTGCTGCCTGGAAATAGTCTCGAGAACAGGATTGCCACGGATTGCGTCTAAGGACGGATTGGGCTCCTGTCTCGGGACGTCAAAATGTGAATCAATCACTCATTTGTTTCAAAATTAAGTCATTCTTACAATTACAATGCTTGGTAGTGGTGGGCCCAAGTCGTCGCTCAGTGTGCGTGAATGATGGTAAGGCGAGAAGTCTTCTTCTCGCCGCTGAGCCATGATGTCTGCTTCCATGTGACGAAACGGGATCTAGCAGTACTGATACAAGTCGCGTGAATAATACCATGGGTCAGCGTCGGATGTGTCATATGTGTGAGTGAACTGCAGTTAGGTGTGTCAGAGAAGGGTCGGTCTTTTTTGTGACCCCCTCGATACGGCGCGAAAGGATGACTACTTGGGTGCGACGCACGAAGGCAAACAGGCGAAGTCGCCGATTGTTTGCCTTGCGTTGCCCACTGGCGAACCACCGGAGCACAGCCTGATCTACGGACCCTTCTAATTCCAAAGGGAGGCAGGCTGTGCATCGAGCGGGACATCCGCTTGCCCCCAGGAGCAAGACCTCTTGTCGGTGACGAAAATGGCCAGCTGACGGGTCTGCAGGCAGACTGTCATTCCACCGCTTCGCACCAGAAGAATTGGCATTTTCCTTCTACTTGTGGGCCTAACTGCGCACTACTGCAACTGCAGTACAGGTGTGTAGGGCCTGCAGGCGCTATTCGGTCGATGTTGGTAAATTTTCGGGGCGGGTAATGCAGGGGTTTACAGCTGCAAGTCTGGTTGGTTTGAATCAGGCTGCCAGCCTCCTGGGCTGTCGAGGCAAAACAATCGACGGATATGCCCTGTCTTCTGATGGCATTCTAGGTGTCACCTCATGTTACTCACCCCTGCTGTTTGCAATACGCCGGGCCGATGTACAAAAGTTGTGATTGGTGAAAATCGTCGACCCCACTAGCCCCTTGCCAGTCTCTCAAGCCCATTTCATGCCCACGGTGCCCGTCTGCCCTACGCACCTGTGCCCTCCATTTTTTCTCCGTCGTTTGACTGATGCAAATTTGATACCCTTGATTTGAAGAAATGGATAGCAGTTTCACGACAAGCCGCCAGCAGAGTCACCATGCATCCCAGACCACCATATCGGGGAACTCAATTGCCCCAGATCGATTGTCTCAGTACCTGCGGATAGAGTTCCATCAACAGCCCTTCGAGATCGAGTCAAGAAGAAATTCCTACGTGATTCGAGGTCCCCGTAATCTTTCACCGGTATGTGTGTCCTTTACGACTTGTGAGCAATGTGCTGATCTTGGTGGCAATCATGAAGGGAGAACTTCAGAAGCTGCGCACTAAACGCACGTAGATGTACACATGCAAAATGGCTATGACCTGATTGTGGAAGTTCTTGGATTTTTTTGCCCTTGTTTCTGTGCTTTGGTTGGGGAGTTTGGGCGCACAGCAATCTAGCGTATCTAAAAACTGTTGGGAATGCCTCTAGTCTTTTGCGCCGGTCAATGTTCAAACTCGATTATGAACATCCATTAGTACATCAACGTCTCTTACTCAGAGGACGTTGCTTGCCAAACATGTAGTTAGCGGTGTATGATTTCATTTGTTGAATTCGAATTCTAGGAAACAACTAACCAGCAATGCTGGTACCCGAACTACTCTTTGCAAGATTTATGATTAAGCACGATAAATGCCGGCACAGCACTGTTCTATTAGCACGAAGCCTGCATTACTTTCGGGAATTCCACAACAGTCTCGTAAGGATGATTGTGTTAAATGATCATGAGACCCTCTTCATGGTAGTTCGGAGGGAGTTTTCAAGACCAAACAACATCAAAATACATGCCAGGTGAATACATAAACAGTTTCGGCCAATGTTTTGACGGTATGATGACGAAATACCGTCATTTGGCGAGTTAAGCTTTCCTAAACTCGAATTCCGTGTCAGGATGCTGCAAACCTTTGACTGGAATTGACATGAGGCAAGAGTGATCAAAGACTCCTTGAAATTAATCTGACCTATCTTTCGCTCCTTTCCAACAGCCGCACTCGTTTTCTCCTGTCCTCCGTACCATCATCCTCATCCTCGTCCAAACTCTTTTTCTGTCTCTCGTGTGGGTTGGCACTATGTGTTGCAGCATTGCTTGCTCGCACGCGGTCGTTTTCTACACTTGGTGGCTTTCTTAAAGTATCGAATGCAGCCGCAGACATGTCCGATACGAGCTTCGGGGTATTCTCTAATGGGCTCACTGGTCGGGGGCGATTTTCATCGAATTTGCTTTCACTGTCCAATGTAGACAGTGGCTTGTCGACATCGGCGGCGTCGGTCCTATTGCGTGGCTTGGGACAGCCTTGAAATGCGTATACACTGTCGTCCTCGCACAAGATGGCCATTTTTTGCAGCTTGCTCACTACCGCATCGCATTTATCTCGTTGGCCGGGAGAGATACAAATCATGTGGTGTAAGATATACGTGAGTAGGCTATGGAAGAATAATGAGCAGTCTGGATGGTTGTGCAGGCTTTCAATAAGCTGAAATTCCAGGTCAGTACCGCCTGTTCATTAAAAACATTACAAAGAGTTCAGATGACTCACCGTCGTCACCGAAGGTTTCAACACGGCCCCGGAACCTTTCCCTTGCTCATATATAATATCGAAGAATGTGTCCACTGGAAATTTGTGGTCTGGATCGTGGCTGTCTTGAGCGCGTTCGACTGAAAAATTGTCAACACCTTCCCAGCCCTTGAAATACCACACAACGAACTCCAGCAAAAGCATGCCCAGAGTCCAAATGTCATAGGCTTGAGACACGCTGGAGTGGACGTCGACCTCGGGTGCCTTGTAAGTCAAAGAAAACTTCTCCATGCCCTGAAACTTAACTATTTGACTTGATAGACCACGGTGGTATCTAGTCAAACCAAAATCTGAAATTCTCAAGTGACCTCCGCCAAAGAATTCACGCTCTGGCGGATCATCACAGAACCACAACACATTTTCTGGCTTTAGATCTCCATGCCGTCCAAAGTCTTCAGCGCCCATGAGGTTTGCGCCTGCGTCCTTGGGTGGATGTTGAATCAATTGAAGCCCTGACGCAATTCCGCATGCCTGTTGGGCCAACCACACAACAAGCTTATGGACTCTCTGGGGGGTATTGTATCGCTGCCACAATTCACGCAGGTTGCCATCAGCCCATGGAAACATAAAATAGTAATGCTCCCTGTAATGGTAGCTTGCTAGAAGTTTGACCACGTGCGGATGATCTTGACGATTGAACTTCTCAAATGCGATGAGCTCTTGGTCGAACTCTTGCTTGTCTTTGCTATGCATCTTCTTAATCGCAAAAGCAGGATTTGCTATCTAGATCTTGCAGTTAGCAAATCTTCAAAGTTGGGATACCACCAGTGGTAAAAGAGGGGCATCTAACAGTATCGTAGTTATGATGAGCCGCATGGATCTTTCTGCGAAAAACGTCGCCGACGCCTCCGAATACAGTGTCCAGCGGCGAACTCTCAAATTCCACAAAAGGAAGAACTATTTTCGACTCGAAAGAGTAGAATATAGGCTCGGTGGCGCTCATGTCGAAGAATGGCGATAGGAATATCCACTGCTCCTTGGCGAACGCAAGCAACTTTGGTTTCGGCCACTTGCGACTTCCTTCAAATTCCACGAGCCCACCATCGGCAGCTCTGTAGCAAAAATGCCACGGTGACTCCCGTTGCAATTCTAGTGGAAGATGTAAATCATGGAGACCTTCGGCTATTAGATCCGGTAGAGCGTTTAAGTGCTCGATTCGAACCAGGGTGGCAAACAATTTCTTTCTTGTTGTTGTTGTCTGATTACCTCCAACCTCTGTTGCATCGCATACGTGGTTTGCGTACTTATGTATTGCGTCAACGGGAAGTCCTAGCTGCTTCTTCAACTCTCGACGGACGTTTGGCCTCGATATAATCCTGTGGAGATCGTCTAGAGGAAGGAATTCCTTGCTCTCATCTGGTGGCGGTGACACAAGCTTTTCGTCAATCTGCTCCCAAATACCCCCAAAGACGCTCTCATCGTCAGACGCATCATCCGGTCTCAGAAACGTGGAAAGAAATCTCGGATCATCCGATATTGGGGTGGAGTGGTTGGTGTGAGCCTCGATTGTGTGCAAATCCGAGGGCGGTACTTTGTCTCCTTGTTGTGACGAGGACGATTTGGCGAAGGAGAAAGAAACACTGTCCAGTTCGTCGCGAGGACTTCTGGCTACTGATTCTTCTTTCGAGGCTCTCAGGTTGACCGAATGCCCACCAGAAATATTTTGCGTGTCTCCCTCTTGGTCAAGATCGATGCTCAGCGTTTGGAAACACAATACCCTCAGGTGACCAGCAATGTGCTTAGATAATTTAGCTCTTCTCGCAGATGATGCTAAGTCTCGGTCAACGACTCTGTCTGCACGAAACTCCGGGTTTATTTCGGTCGTGCCGTCCAAGAAACTCTCAGAAAACCTGACTTTTCGCTTCGGTTTTACCACCGTTGTATTTTCGAGGTCATGCCGACCTGACTTCGAGTCGTCTACTATGGCGTCGCCAGTATCCTGATTTGTGACAGACATGTCCACAGGCATTTTGCAAAGTAGGCATGTAGTATCTGTGTCTCCAGAAATGGATTCGTCGGGTCTTCTTCTAGTACGGCCTTCAGATGAGTGATGGATCCGGTGCATCCAATCTATGCCATGTTCACTCTCCATATGCTTTCGCCATAGAGAGTACTTTGAAAACCCAACAGGTGGATTTGCGCATTCCTCTGCAATGCAAACAAAAACGTCGAGGTCTTCGTCTACATGTTTCCTATGCTATGAATTAACTCAAATTCTTTCTCGATGGGAACTTTGATTTTATGTTGAAGAGACTTTCGGTAGAATTGATGAAAAGGTAGTGGAGGGCGGATGTCAAATAATACATGAGGAATAGCGTAAAGTGCGAGCTTACCTCCACCATTTCTCATCCTTGAGGTCCTTGTATACATACATCTTGCCACAAAACTGACATTGCAGCTTCCTCTCGGCATTCATTTCGCTGAGACCTTCGTCGAGAGACGGGGGCTTCGGATATTCCACTTCAACTTCGCCTGCCCATGATGATACCGTGCTAACAGGCCTTTGCGGGCTTGCAGTTTGTTTCTGTCGCTCAAGGCCCTGAAGTCGCTTAAAGTCTTCGCTGATGAATGTGGAAGGGTGCGTT